ATCTGACTGATGTCCATATAAGAAGAGGAGATTAGAACACAGATACACAGAGAGGGAAAACCATGTGAAGACATAGGAAGAAGAGGCCTGCATACCAAGGAGAGGCCTCAGAATGAAACCAACCCTGTCAACATCTTGCATTTAGGCATTTAGCCTCAGAACAGTGAGAGATGAATTTTTGTTGTCTGAGCCACACTGTCTGTGGTACTCTGTTATGTCAGCCATAAGTAGCACACCCTTCACCCCACTGTGGTATCAAAAGATGAAACCACCACCCAATATGTGCAACAAAAATCCCTGATTCATCATATGCTTAAGTGAGGAAGAGTTATACTAGTCAGAGTCGTACTCATTGAGCAAGCCCAATTGCTGCTCTGATCTTCAGTTTTGGGGAAGAGTTTACTTTGGATTGTGTAGGTTACAGAGGTTAGGTCAGGCCTAGAAGACCAGTTGGGTTGGTTATTGAGGCTTGATTTTTGTCTCTTACAGAGTGGAAGGTTAATATCAGACTTAGAAACACGTTCCCTGTATTGACTCTTGGCCAATTGGCTCACTTTCAAATCCTAAGTCTGATGCTGTTTGGCTTTTCGGCGAGTGTTCACTGACGATAGTTGTCATTGATTAATTATACAGGTTTAAAATAAGTTCCGGTTGTTTACTCATAAACAGGGCTATGGAAGTGTTACTAATTGATTAGACAAGTTAAAACTAGTTCTAGTGTTTGCTAACATGGCTATAGAACAAAGAGTCTTTTCCAGGGAGTGCACTTATTTTTTATTCTCAGTGGTCAACAAAAATTAAAAGGTAGGACAAATAATAGAAAAGAAGACGACTAATGAATCTATAAATTGCAATATATTTTACTTGTGTAAGCTGTACGCTGGATCTTATTTCATTGATTCAAGTTTCTGATTCAAGTTTCATTGATCAGACTGGTGTCCATGAGAGAAATGGATGAGGAGTGGGGTGAGAGGAGGAGCAAGTAGATCGATAAGGATGCTCCTGCTGTCATCATGCACTGGGGTGGTAATGATGGAGAGGGACAGAAGTGAGCACATCAGGGCTGCATATTTCAGGAAGAGCTGTATACGGAATGAGGAGTCAGCTGGAGGTGAGATAAGAAGGAGAGGTATTTTAATTCTCAGCTCTTTGATTGCCTACGTTTTTTGTTTGAACAACTGTGATGCCATTTACTCAGAGGGAACTATTTGGCAAAGATCAAGTAGGCAACTGGGAAGTAGTGAGTTAAAGTCTGCTTTAGCGTATTATGTCCGGCAGGCTATATCAGACAGGTCCCCAGCAGGGAGCAGATGACACCTGGAGAAAACTCCAGTTGAATGTTATAGAAATGTGAACAGGGTTAAGGGACCAAACAGGGCACCCAACGGTTAGCAACCATGGGAAGCCAGCACTACCTCTAGGTCTGAAGGAACAGGAGGACAAGAGCATTATTGGACACCCATGGGCTGTAGCCATGGGAGAGGACCTCCCAGCTGGAGTGTGGGATTGGGAAGAAGACAAGGTCACTGACAAAATCACAGCGGAAGCAGTGGTGGTTTATCTGCCCTCTCTTTCTGCTTGTCGGCCTCCTGCTGGTGCTCTCTTCTGGACGAGTCCAGTCAGCCCAAGTGCCCAAGGTGATGGGGTGAGTAGACAGAGGGCACGAAGCAGGGCAGTGCCACGTGGGGGATGACTGAGGGACAGACGGAAGAAACAGCACTGCTGCCTCTGAGACCCCTTCCTTTCAAGAGGCAGGTAGACAGCTAAAGGCAGAGATGTTGATTTGGAAGTGATCAGCATTTTCAATGGTTGCGAGCCAATATTTGTCACGCTCTCCTTTGTCTAAGCACTCCACTCTCATTTAATTTTTGAAACAAAACCATAGGTTCAATATTACCCCATTGGACATGGGTAGTGGTATTTAACCTTTGGGTTTGTTTCTAGAATGAATGAGGAAGCTGAAGCACAGTGCCATGAAGCGATTTGTTTCAAGTTGCATGGCTATTAAGAAGCGGTTCCAAGAATTAAGCCCCAGATATTTGGATCCCCAGGGCCAACGATAGGAACTATGATGCGATCCTTGCACATGGGCGCTCTAGAGCATGACGTGTTAGGCCACATGCTTTTTTTTTTTTTTTTTTTTTAAATACAACTCTTCCCTTTCTTCCACTGCTTTGAAATGAAACCATTCTGACAAGATTTCATCAAAGAAGTTATTCTAAGCTTTGGTGTCCCGGTTTGGGTATTGCTTTTGATTAGGGCTGTGTGCAGACTAGCATATTAGTAACCCACATATTCCCTCTCCCACCGAAAGAGCACATTCGCTTTTATCTTGGGAACAAAGCTGGAGAGAAAAAGAAGCTTTTTTAACTTTTCTTAATTCATGAAACATTTATCTTCTAGTCAGGTTTTGTTATAGCAGCTCAAATGTGGTCCGTCAGCATTTCCATTATTTCCTCATATTTCCAGGGCTTTTCAAGAGTGCCTTGGAGATTCCACTCCGCATTAAAACTGGCCTTCAGGGATTGCGTCAGAAAACTCCACTTTCCTCACTAATTAATCAAATAGTTCAGAGGTTTGCAATTTTGAAGGGGGCCAAATGTAAAACTGTTATTAATGTAAAAATATCAATATATTGAGGCAAATTTGCTAATTTAAGTGTATTTTTTAAATATTAACACTTACTCTACAAGCATAATGTCATATGACTATATGATACTAGTTCTCAAAAACAACCATTGAAGTTCCTAAAATAATAATATATGAAAGCTAATGATAACAATTTAGACTTCACCTTCTTGGCTTTGCAATTGATTTATTTCCATTTTAGGAATTTGGATGCTTTGAAGTTCTCAGCATAATTAATGTTATAACAATATCAAGACACTGAAGCAGGATGACATGGGCAGGGGTGATTCTGAGAGAGTGCCAAAGTGTTCAGTATATTTTTAAAAAATTTAAGTTCATATAGATAATTTTTCAGTCTGTGAAAAGGTATCAATAGCATGTCCCAAGTCTGTACAAATATCTGAAATTTAATTATTTTAAAGCAATTGTGAGTGCTGTGTAGATCTCAGTAGTTAAAGCCTTTCCCACTTTGCCTAATTCCAAGTATTCTGTGAATGTCGGATAACAGTGACGGGTATGAGGGTGGCCTCTACCTCTATCTCTTTTTGTAGTCTTTTCTGTATCCCCTCTTCAGCCTCACATGGCAGAGGACTAAGTAAATACAAGGTAGTGAAAGAGAGTCGATGAAGCCTTCCGAGCAAACCTACTCTCCTGACTGCCTTCTCTCTAGCGATGTTGGCCCCTTGTTGTTCTAGAAACACTGCAGGGGAACTCTCAGCTGGAGACATTTGCTCTAGCCTTTCCTTCTTTCGGGAATGCTTCCTCCACATGTCTGCTTGGTTAACTCCCTTACTGACTTTAGACTTTCCAACCTTACTTTCTGAGGGTGGTCAAACCACATTACTCTACTTGATAATTTGATTTGCCCTTCGACCTTCAGTCCCCAAACTCATGGTATCCCTCCCCTTGCCCGACTTTCCTTATTTTTCTAATACTTATCTTCTGACATACTGTATACCTCTTAAAAATACTCGTTTCCTCCCTTTCCTCCAGAAGGTCAGTGGGGACAAGGTTCTTTGTTTTATTCGTTGATACATCCTTAGTATCTAGGATTTTCCCTGTTGGTTTAAACACTGAAAAATAACTTGTTGAATGAATATTATAGTATTGGATTACATTTTAATTTTATACCACAATAAAAATCTATCAACAATATTCCAGGAGTATTGTTTTCTGGTTCTTCTACAGAATTTGGATTATTTCCCTCAGATAGTTAAAAATGCCCTTTGATGCCCTACAAAGGTTGGCTCAGTGGATAAAGCATCAGCGTGCTAACTGAAGGGTCCCAGGTTCAATTCCGACCAAGGGCACATGCCTGGGTTGTGGGCTCAATCCCCAATAAGGCATGTAGGAGGCAGTCAATCAATGATTGTCTCTCATCATTGATGTTTCTATCTCTCTCTCCTTCTCCTTTCCTCTCAGAAATTAATAAATAAATATTTATTAATAAATAAATATATAAACCAGTTTCGGCAAAACTGGTTTGGCTCAGTGGATACAGTGTCAGTCTGCAGACTGAAGGGTCCCAGGTTCGATTCTGGTCAAGGGCACGTACCTTGGTTGTGGACACATCCCTGTAGGAGGTGTGCAGGAGGCAGCTGATCGATGTTTCTAACTCTCTCTCTCCCTTCCTCTCTGTAAAAAAAATCAATATATTAAAAAAGGGGAAAAAAAAGAAAAGAAAAAAAGAATGCCCTTTGAATGTTGGTGTAAAAGTGAAACCATCCCTCTCCCATTGAAATCGCCTTTGTAATATGTTACAGGTCAATTTTCCTGGAATCATTTAAACTGAAGCTTGGACATTTTTGTAGTTAATTTTAGCTTTGTTTAGAAAACATGATCTGAATGGATACATGTGAAGTTTGGTGTTCACAAAACAAATGCTTATTTTGTATTAAAAATACTGCTGTGCATGTGTCATAACATTTTTATACTTGTAATGATTACAATGCCAAACTTTGAAAAATATGAAATTAAAAAAAAATCTTATAGCTAAAAACAAAAAAGAGAAAGGACTCCACAACTCCAGCAGCAATAGAAATCATGTCTTCACTATTCTGCCCCATGGCATGAAAACTGTACTAATGGCATACTGGTGCCATTTGGTGAGATTTCACCACCAGTTAAAGGGTATAAAAGCAAGGACACAAGAACTTCAGTTTAGGTACCAGCTCTGGTGGCACACTCATCAGCACAGCATTGATTCTGAATGGTAGCTGATATCAAAAGCTAACATTTCCTATCATGAGACAATATTCACTTTATGGTTGGACTAAACATTGCTTGAAAACAAATACAATTAAGTATCCTTTAATTTATTTTTATCCGTTGCATAGAATTTATTTGACTTTATTTCTACTTTGTCTTCCTAGGGCAAATGTGAGCAGTCACTTTATGGTCACATGCATTCCATCAATGATGCCACCTTCTCTCCTAAGGTGAGTTCAGTTCTAATAATTTTTCTAACTCCTCACATATTCAAATTTATTTTAATAAAACAAAATCCCAGGAGTAAATGTGGGTTAACAAGGTGAGTAGGAGAACAAATTTGGGGATTAATTATGACAATGGGAAGAACATGTAGGTAGTGCAGGGTTGCAGAAGTTTAAGACACAAAAACATACACTGTATAATAGTAGGAACAATGAGGAACTCATCTATTGAACTTAACTCCAATGTAGTACATTTTTGAGAGCTTCTTTTATAATTCTTGTGTCAAGAAACTGTGATATAGACTTGTCAATATCAATGCAGAATTATAAAATAACAAAAATGTTTGAAAGGAAACCCAAGAACAAACACCATTAAAGAAATAGGGACTTCCTTCTGCTTAGAACACAGCAACCTTGCATGGACAAATTGGACAGCTTTTCAATTCCTCATTGAAAGGTTTTAAATATTTCTCTTTCCATATAAACTGATGGCATCCCAAATGTTTTTCTGAAGCTTGAGATATTTAGATATCAGGATGATGTGTCCAATGATGAAAATCATTAAAACATAGCTTTTTGTTGCTGAGCTAACTGTAGTTATCCTTAAAAGGGTTCAAATAGTAATCATGGAAGGATGATTTAAGTTTGTTCCTTCTCAGATGGAAGTGACTTTAAGACAATAGATGATCTCTCAAGTCCTTTCAAACTCTATGATTTAATTATATCGAACATTTTAATTTGTCTCCAAGTTCCCAGTAGAATGGGAATCTTAATTCCATATCCTTCTTCTAATTAGCTAAAAAAGAAATCTGATAGATTCCCTACATCTAATTTCAAAATGACAGCATTGTTGCAATTCTGTTACTATTGTGCTTGTTATTATTCTTTTAGAAAGAGGAAAATGCAGACTAGAAATTTTTTTCTACTAAAGGAAGTTTGTTTGCTCACCTGAATTATGCCGATGTCACTGACAACCCAGGAATGTTAATAATGAGCTCAACTACAATTATATTTCAATAAAGGAACTTCCATTTGATTGACTCTGTTGAGCCAACATATTATGGATTAGTTCTAGATACCAAGCAAAATTTTATTTCTAGCATATTATAAAGCTCTTTAAGCAATATGGACCCCATATAATGTGGATATTTATGCCAAAAATCTATTAAGTGGCTTGCAACTTTATGTACCCTAGGAAAATTAAATGGAAGCTAAAATGAAGTAAACTAATATTTTGTAAGACATTTTATTTGGTAAGCAATATTGTAGCTGAAAGAGACACATCATTTACATACTAAATAGTAAAATTTAATAAATATGGAAATAGCCAAATCAGATTTATTGAATCAGCAATCAAGGGAGACATACATTAATTATACATATTTCAAAGCCAACATGATGAATATGAGGTCCAGTGTCCAGGGTCACTGTGGCTACTCTGGTTTTGTTTACACCAAGATGCCTGTCACTCCTCAGTTCCAAATCAACATTCCAGGACTTCACTGAATTGTTCCATCACATCAATTTATTTCTTCTTTGCTGTGATATTTAATAGCTATTAAGGAAATCATATTTTATGATGATAACTGACACTCCTAAATGAAGTTTACACTCACTATGCCAATTGACTTGAAAGCTGTTTTGTTGCACACACCTGCTGAGAAATTGTCAGGAGATCAAGAGGCAACAGTTACTGAGAGAGCAAAAAAACTTTCAGAGATTGCTCGAGGACATGGCATTGTGACCCATTTCACTTTGAAGCAGACTATCAGACAAGGGTGTGATAATAAATGCATTATAAGGTACATATATAGCAGGCAGCAATCTGAATCACTTAGTATTGGACTTACAAATGGTTTACTGCCTTTGGGATATCCCATTAGGTTTACATTAGCTTAAAATTTATTCAGCTATTTATATAAGCACAATTTTAGGAAAATTCTGCAATTTTAGATTTGTAAGCAGAAATCACAAATGTAAAATTCAGTTTTACCTAGCTAGCAACCAAGAATCACAGAAACAAATACATAATATATAGTATGTATGTATAGTCCTGAAAAGCTAAGTAAATTTAATTTTTATGTTATATGATATTAGGGCTCTGATGTCTTTATTTCTTACTGATATTTCTAATGGAAGTAGGTATTTATGTAAAACCTCTTTTCAAAGTAACCTGTTGATGTCTGTCCATGGGCTATGCATATATGCATAAAAATTAATTGGTTAATCCTTTCCTGCTCTCCCAACCCCTTTTTCTCTGAAATACATCAGTCGGTTGTATGCTTTAATACCTTTGTTTGTCACTTTATTTTGTTCATGAGATACCACATGTAAGTGAGATCATGTGATACTTGTCTTTCTCTGACTGGCTTATTTTGCTTAGCTAATTCTCTCCATTCTTCAATGAAAAAAACAGAATCCATCAGAAAAGAAATGTCATATCTTCCTACTACTATGTTAAGTAAGAAATGATGTTATTGTATTTCACTGGAGCTAAAAATAGATATAAACCTCAGTAGGAATATTTTGTCATTTTTACATTTAAATTATTACCATTTAATAATTATGCAGTTAAGAGCTTTATAATTGATTTGAGATAAGTTAATTGCTTTTTCTAATTTGGTTGAATATGGAGATAAATGAATTAACTCATATTATATTTTCTTTAAATCACAGACAAATAAATAACTGCAATTAATTGCTACCTAGAAAAGTTATCTCATGGTATTTTAGGAAAGGAAACTCAATTTCTGATTTTTTAAAAAAATTGTGTTTGTTATTCAATCTTAAACGGAAAGTACTTAGCATGTCTCTCTGGCTACTTTATATAAAGCAATATAAATAACATTTAGGTCATGCAGCTATTGATCCTCTGAAGGACAAATGATGTCAGGCAGTACTTATACACCAAAAACATTTCAATTTTTTTTATTTTTTCAGAAATCCAACTTGATGTCAGCTACCATTTAGCCTGGCCAATATTGATATTTCATGTCAGTTTTACTCATTATTGCAACTAGATATTGCATAAGTCAAAACTTTTAGATATAGGGTAAAAAACACCAAAGTAGGTTATATTTGAGAAAATTGAAAACAACAACAGAATAAAAAGTTAAGGGATTTGTAACATGCTAATTTTATTTTATTAAATATTTGAATTATTTCAATGTTCCCACATATCTAAAAATCAATTTTATATATTTTAAATTAATCTCATACTACAATATCCTTAAACTAATCATTTATGAAAAAACCTAGCCTTAAAATAATAAAATAATTTCTGATTGAAAATTTAAAGAACAGTAAAAGAAAAAAAGAATTTGTACAAACATCAAATACAAATTAATTAGAAATTACTTTTAACTATAATAAATTGATAGAGGTTTTTTACCTTTATTTCTACTTTTTAGTATTAGAATTTAACAATGAAAATTAAAAAGAATAATAGATTTAAGATTATATCACCACCCCCGAAGTTTAACTTTTAGAAATTTATACAGTTGGATAAAGATGAATGCAACCATGTGTAATTTTTTTTTATGGTTCCATGAAAATTAGAAGTAACATGATGATGTCATATATCTTCATATTTCCTCTTATACTATAAAATTAATAATATATATATATATGTCTTTTGAATGACAGTTTTTGACATATATGAAAACTCAGCATGGCCTTTAATTTAGCATCACTTTCCTGAGCACTTTTTATGTCTCAAGCACAGCTCTAAATATTGAGGGTGCAGCAATGAACAATACCAACTCCTGTACTTATGAACTTTATATTTTGGTCAGAACCAAAAAAAATAAGTAAACAAATGAATAGTCTCAAGAATAATAAATGTTATCTAACCAGAATAAATTTGGGTGAAAAAGAGCAATGAGGTGAGAGTTGGGACTTATAATAAAACTAGAGGCCTGGTACATGAAAATTCTTGCCCTGGAGGGGGCGCCTCTCAGCCTGGCCTGCCCCCTCTCACAGTCTGGGAGCCCTCAGGGGTGGGAGGCAATCCAGCAATTAGAAGGTAATGTCCCACCCCACCTCTGCTGCTGCCACTGCCACTGCCTACAGATCAAACCTTGGCCAGCCCTGGTAACTTGAGCCTTGGGCCTGCCTGTGCCTTGAGTTGGCTCTAGGGGGACTGGGGGACTCTGGAGGTAGGCATGTCATGCACCTGCTGCTCCGGCGGGGCTGAGGGGCCTGGCACAGCCATCTTGTGGCTGTGGACGCCACCATCTTTAAGGGTGGGGCAGTCAATTAGCTGTTGTCATAGTTCTTGTTTCAGAGGTGATCAATAAATAGTTATTGATAAAGAAATATAAAAAATTCACTGCATATCAGAACCCAAGGGGCATTTAAAAGAGTACATAGTTAAGACAAACACTTGCTGTGAAAGGAATACATTTATTTTATGCTATATTGATCTTAAAACATTATTTCCAAATTTAATACTTTGCTGACTTCCCATGTTTATTCTGAGCAAAGTACTGCCAAAAATAGTTCAAAATATATTTATTACTTTCATAAAAATATGATATTGCCACTCAGAACATTTGGCCATTTAAGCAAGGGGTTTTCCAATACAACTGTCTCATTTAAATAGTTTTCCAGCCAAAACCAGTTTGGCTCAAGAGCGTCAGCCTGTGGACTGAAGGGTCAAAGGTTCAATTCTGGTCAAGGGCATGTACCTTGGTTGCGGGCACATCCCCAATAGGGGGTGTGCAGAGGCAGCTGGTCGTTGTTTCTCTCTCATCAATATTTCTAGTTCTCTATCCCTCTCCCTCCCTCTCTGTAAAAAATCAATAAAATACATTAAAAAAACAAACAAACAAAAAATAAACAGTTTTCCAAGGACAAATGTTCTAAATAATATCACAATATCAATATAAAATTATACATTTCCTCTAATCATAATTAATTATAGTCAGTCTAAACTTGCATGTGATTGAAATTATTTGAAATACTACAGGGATAACAGCTTGAGTTTTTAAAGAGATTGTTTTACT